CACATTGCACACCCGATCTCCCATCTGACAGTAAAATCCGCTCCTACATTTCCCCTCTCCAATCTGCAGTCAGTTGATGGAATGAGTTAGTGGAGAGTCTTTCACCTTGTCCCAAGTGAAGGGAGTGAGCCAAAGGGAGTAGCCATTGGGAGAGAGTAGCATTGGCTTAAGGACAATCAGAACTCTCCTCCACCAACAGAAGCTCATAGCTCCAGTAGTTGAGGTTTGGCCATGACTGGGACATTGGTAATGTTAATGTCTTAACTGCAACGCAAGAAGACGAGAGAGTTTGGGAAGAAGAAGGCCCTTCAGTTCATCTGATCCCAGAAACCTGTTCCAGCCCGGACTCCCCTCTAAACGTCCCGTGTCCTCTTTTATTGAAGGTCGAAGACTGGAAGGAGACAGAAGGGTTCGCCGAGTATGAAGGCAATGGTCCTGGCTCTGATAATCACCTTCCTCCTGGTGCTGACATGTAACTATCTGACCTGTTGATAACAATCGTTACAGTACTGTATAAGAATCCTCACATCAATGTTAGAATATCTCCCAGCACTTCACAGGGAATTGGAGTCAAGTGCAGTGACTGTATTGCTAGATAAACATAGCAGCTAATTTTCACAGTGCAAATACACTCACAATCATGAATTTTCATGCATAATCCTTGCAATTGATATCATGCCTTTTCATTTGTTCAAACATCTTAAAGTGCTTTATAGTATATACAGTAAAGTAAAATAACTGTATATTTTGTGGCCGAAATTAAAGAGCATTTTATGATAGAATAAAAGGTCCTAGACTTCTTCACCGCAAAGATTGAAACCATCCACTTGGCTACATCGTCCTCCCCCCGCCCCATGGCCCCTTCTACCCCACCCAGACCATCTACACCGCCTTCTCTGTCCGTCGCAGCTCCTGCCACCAACCCCTTCTTACACTCCTTTGCCCCCATTTCCCCCTCTCATCCACAATCACCCAGATGAAGTTCACCACCTGCTGCCTCGACCCCCTCCCCACCCTGTTGCTGGTCACTCAACTCCCCTCCTCTCCCCCTTGCTGGCCAACACGCTCAACCAGTCTCTTTGCTCAGGCTCTGTTCCACTCCCCCTGAAAACCACTGTCATCACACCCTGCCTCAAAAATTCCACCCTTGATCCCTCTAATCTCTCACTGACATCCCATCTCCAACCTGCCCTTCCTTGCCAAAGTCCTGGAACATATTGTTGCAGGTCAACTTTGGTCACCCCTCTCCCTCCACTCCCTCCTCAAACCCCTGCAGTCTGGTTTTCACCCCGACTGCCTGCAGCACAGAGCACTTGTCAAAGTCACAAACAACGTCCTCTCTATCTGTGACCAGGGCTCCCTCTGCCTCCTCGTCCTCCTGGATCTCTCTGCCACGATCGACACAGTGAACCATGCAATCCTCCTCCACCACTTCTCCCTCATCCACCTTAGCGCCTCCATTTCATCTCGGCAAATGGTTTCTCCTCCCGCCCCTGCTCAGTCACCTGCGGGGTACCTAGGGCTCCATCTTTGGCCCCCCTTCTTTTTCTTATTTATATGCTCCCCAGCTGTCCTTCCTCCCCCACATCCAATCCCTGACCAGGATCTCCTTCCTCCACCTCCCCCACATTTCCCGCCTCCGACCGTACATTACCCCAAATGCAGCCGAAACCCTGGTGCGTGTGTTTGTCACCTCCCGCCTGGATTACTCCAACCCCCTCCTCGCCGGTCTCCCCGGCTCCACCATTCACAAGATCAGCTCATTCAGACTCTGCCGCCCACATACTGACCTCAACCAAACTCCGTCCCCACACCTCCCCAGCTCTGGCCCAGGCTCCACTGGCGCCCCATCACCCAACGGATCGACTTCAAGATCCTCTCACTCTCGTGTTCAAATCCCTTCACTCCCTGGCCCCTCCCTCCCTCTCCGACCTCCTCACTCCCCAATCCACCATCCGGTGCCTCCGCTTGACTGGCACCGGCTCCTGCTCATCCCTCGCACCCTCCGCCCACCATTGGAGGTCGTGCTTTCAGCCACTATGTCCCGAAACTCTGGAACTCTTCCTGAATCCCTCCGCCTTGCCCCCTTTTTCAAATCCCTCCTTAAAGCCTTCCTCTTCGACCGTGCTTGTGGTTATCTCTCCCACCCCCCCACCCCCAGCTTGGAGTCAGGCTCCGCCATTGTTAAGAGCTCTGAGACACTACCCTGCGTGGAGGGCGCTATATAAGTGCAAGTTGTTGTTGAATATGTTGTCATTTATGGCCAAATCATAAACTCAGTAACTACTGCAAACAAAGCATTGATTTGAAACAGACTCACCTGGACTAGTGCCAATCCTCAGCGGCCCGTGAGCCGTGGGTTAGCCACCACTGATCTAGGGGTTGTCGGCCACGGCGGGGTTGGGAGGGACACCTCTCCTGTTTTCTTTCTTTATTTAATCCCTAATAAAGAATTCAAACTTTTGTCTTTTTTTTATTACACACACTGGCATCCATCGCAATACAATACACATCATAAATCTACAGCACCCCCAGCTCACAGCAAGGGTTAGGTACAGAGTAAAGCTCATTCCTTACTCACAAAAGTGGACATTTAACCCTTTCCTCTCTCTAGCGTCATACGTGTTCCCGCTGACAGAAGAAGCGTCCCCTGCAGGCCAGCCGTTCCAGGCACTCCAGGATTATGCTTATAATCTGGCTGACAGAAGCAAGTTAGCATTGCACAGCATGAGCTCCTCCGTGATGGTGCAGAAAACCAAGTGAGTTCAGGCCTGGATGCAGTGATATTGGGAACATAGTAACAGGAGTAGGTCATTCAGCCAGCCCCTCGAGCCTGTTCCGCCATTCTATAAGATCATGGCTGATCTGTACCTCAATTCCAATGACCCAGCTTTGCCCCATATCCCTTGACACCCTGACCTAACAAATATCTATCCACCTCAGTCTTGGAAATGTGAATGAATCCAGCTATAACCACAGTCTTTTGGGGGAAGGAGTTCCAGATTTCCACTAGCCTTTGTGTGTAAAACTTCTTCCTGATTTCACTATCTTATTCGGAGTGCAGAGTGTGGGATGCCAAGAGTCGTTGGTAATCTTTCACTCACTCTGTGCCCGATGCTAGCATCAGGCCACATGGTAAGACGCAATATCAAATTGCAAGGATTAATATTATTATACTAAGGTTATTGAATGCCAGTGCTTGGTATTGATTGTGTCATGTGTAAATCCACAGCTGCTGTGTATTTATACATTTGACAACCAATTTTTTTAAAAAATATTGCCGTTGTGAATATGGATGGACTCTAACCCTGACCTGGGAGTGTGGACGCACAGTGTAGAGGAGCTTTACTGTGTCTCTAACCCTGACCTGGGAGTGTGGACACACAGTGTAGAGGAGCTTTACTGTGTCTCTAACCCTGACCTGGGAGTGTGGACGCACAGTGTAGAGGAGCTTTACTGTGTCTCTAACCCTGACCTGGGAGTGTGGACGCAGTCTCTAACCCTGACCTGGGAGTGTGGACGCACAGTGTAGAGGGAGCTTTACTGTGTCTGCAACCTGTCCAACCTTTTGGCTGCTAGATTCCCTATTTGAGAAAGGTCTGCGGGCCACATCCAGTGTGGGCCAATTGGCAGCCCACAGGCCATGTCCAGCCCAGTCATTGATTTTATGCGACCTGAGACTATTTCCAACATTCCAACTTCCACTTCCTCCCTTCCTGGTGAACGTGCTCCCAGGCCAGCGGCAGGAGCCGGTGGTTGGGATGGCGCAATGCGGAAAGTGGAAATAATGCCGGCCATTAGTTGATTGGCCGACAAGTTAACAACTTAGTTGATTGGAAGGTGGGGGGTGGGAGGCGGGAGGGAATTGCTAAGGATGCAGTCGGTAAGAGACGCCCTTGCCTTCCTGACAGACTGCAGGAATAGATGCTCTGAGACGCTGTCCGGCGTGGAGGGCGCTATATAAATCCAAGTTGTAGACGGCATTATTTCCACTCTCCGCATTGGGTTCTCCCAACCACCGGCTCCAGCAGCTGCCCTAGGAGGGTGTTCACCAGGAAGGGTGGGGGAACGGAAGTTGGGATGTTGGAAATGGTCGCAGGCCGGATACAGTTACCCACCGGGCCAGTTGCCACCTGTTGGACCAATGCTGTTTTACAACAACAGCAACTTGCATTCACATAGCGCCACTCATGCAGGGCAGCATCGCAGAGCAGTTTACCTTTCTGATGCTGTGTATGTGAAAACACAGTGGGTTTAATGGGCAGTAACTGCTCTCCTCTTGTCTCCTCTCCTCTCAGGGACCTGTTATCTCTTGGCTTACAGCAAGTGATGCCTTATCTGGACAGTGTACAGAATAAACTGGCCAAATTCTGGAACAGCGCTCTCTAACGGCATTTGGAGTCACGCTGGTCATTCCTGCGATGTATGTCACTTTACAACAAAAATAAACCTTAACCCCCCCCAACCATTCCCGTGAATCCCCATGTCTGCCTGTCTGTCTCTGAAACCTTAGGCAAGTTCCCTTACTCCACATACACGTCTGTTTACCTAGCAGTAAGTCGGAACCCAGTTGTCGATTGGCAGATCACTTTCCAGATGTAATAATCTTTTCAAAATAATAATTTGGTCCATGACTCTTTGTTGGACTCTGCTGTGCACAATTGGCTGCTGCGTTTCCCCGACAAAATATACCGTCAATCAACTTTAGTGTATTCTGTGAAGAGTCTGAAAGAAGTGATGAGGCGCTGTATCAAGTGCAAGGATTATTATTATTATAATCTAACAGTCAGTTCAGCCTTTCGGTGTTTTGAGCAAATGCGACAATTATTATTGTTTAAATGTGATTTGTTCTCAAAACTAATGACAGGTAAGTTTCAGGCTGTAGACTGTGGGCGTGGCCCTGAGGGGAGTGGGCGTGGCTTGGTCAGGGAGTGGGCGTGACCTTCAATGAGGGATGGGCGTGGCTTTGTGAGCGGCGGCCCCGCCCCTGGCCGAGCGGCGCATGCGCGATCCCGGATGGTGAAGCGCGAGAGTCCGGCCGGTGGCGAGAGGCTGTGACAGGAGCTCGGAGGCCGCGCCGAGGGGACGGGAAAAGCGTCCGTGGATCCCAGGAGCCTCCCCGGGAGACGGGAGAGGCCAGGGCGCCGCTCGGTGTGTGTGAGCGGGAAGTGGAATGTCATGCGAGACGAGGGCGACGGAGGCGGACCCCGAGCCTGTGAGTCGCGCGCGCAACTTCCGCTCTAACTCACGCCTCCCGTCCGCTGATTGGTCCATTTCCTCACTTCTGATTGGCCGCTCCGTCTGTCACTCAGCCGCTAGTTCTGGCTAAGGGGGCGGGGCTTTTTTTAAGGGATCACGTGTGTGTGTTCTCACCACTGGACTCCACAGGACACAGAGGTCATCAGAGGAGCCAATAACACCCCAACACAACAGGGTCATCATGGCCAAAACCCTAAATACTGCAGACGCTGGAAATCCAAAACAAAAACAGAAGTGGCCGTAACACTCAGCGGGTCCGGCAGCATCTGTGGAGAGAGGAAAGTGGGTCAACGTTTCGGGTCGAGGCCCCATGTGTCCATGACCCGAAACGTTGACCCACTTTCCTCTCTCCATAGATGCTGCCGGACCTGCTGAGTGTTCCCAGCGACGTCTCACTCTCTCTCTCTCTGACAATCAACAAGTTACACCATCACTTGACCAGCACCTGGGAACACTCAGCCTGTCCGGCAGCATCTATGGAGAGAGGAAAGTGGGTCAACGTTTCGGGTCTCTGATGAAACGTTGACCCACTTTCCTCTCCATAGATACGGCCTGAGCATCTGACTTGGACCCGAAATGTTGACCCCCTTTCCTCTCTCCATAGAAGCTGACTGACCTGCGAGTGTTCCCAGCCCCCTCTGACTAGGGTCATTAATAATGTTCGATTCGCGAGTGGGGCACGAAACTAGGGAAATTTCCTTACTCCGCACGCTTCTGCTTGAGTCGGAACCCGGTTGTTGGTCGATTGACGGATTGCTTTCCCGGGGATAATAAACCCTTCAAAGCTAATAAAAAATAATAATAAATTTGGTCACTAAATCCACGACTGTTTGTGAGACACTGCCGCTGCCGCAAAAATATAAATCAATTCACTTTACAGTATATTCTATGAAGAGCTTTGAGATGTCTCAACGACGTGATGTAGGCTCTATATCAAAATGCAACTGTGTCGTACGTTTCTGCAGTCTGAGAAAGAATGATTTCGCCCAGAGATAGAAGTCGAGCCCTTCAGAGTGCTTGCTGGAAACCTGCTTGAAATGAACAGCTGGAAACTACAATTCCCTTGGCAGCCAGGAACACCCTAACAGCTCGACTTACAGGATTATTAGGAACTGGGTAGGAAGAATATACCCCACCACACTTGTGATGTGTCAACCACTCCATCCCATTGATGAGCCAGACAGGCTTGTCAGTCATGAACATATGCTACTCAGAATTCCTCTATAGTTTTATTCTTACATTTATTGTCACAAAGCAGGGAGTCCTGTAGCTCAGTGGTTAGAGCACTCGCTTTGCAAGTGAGAGACCTGAGTTCAATTCCAGGCAGAGGGCGAAACCTCGGGCAAGTTTCCTTACTCCACACAGAGCCTAATAATAATCCCTCCAAAACCAAAAACAATAATAAATTGGTCATTTTCAATCTACGACTGTTTGTGGGACATTGCTGTGCGCAATTGGCTGCCGCGTTCGCCCACAAATATACAGTCAATTCACTTTACAGTCTATTCTGTGAAGCGCTTTGAGATGTCTAGAAGATGTGAAAAGCGCTATATCAAATGCAAGGATTATTATTATTATTTACTAATTTCCTTTGCACTCAATGGTTTGCAAAGCTGTGCTATCCTCAACCAGTTTTGATATAGTGTTGCTTCCTTTCTCTCTAATACCCTAAAGAACAATTATTGCATTCTCTGTCATTTCTGTGAGCCAGATGCTGATTTGGGGGTTGTCATTTATCTATACCAACACATTGTGGCTGTCGGGTGTGAGTCACTGTGGGGAGGGCTTTGTCACGCAACACAAAGAGTGGGTGTCAGGAACTCCGCTCACATTTTGTTTCTGTGCTGCTGACTTCACTGGAGGTTCTGAGGGAAAGTGAGGGACGCAGCAGGTTACTGAGTATGATGAATGGAGCAGGGTGTCAGGAGGTATGGGCCTAACGGGGATCTGAGTAATGTTTCTTTATTTTAATAATAATATTCCTTGTATTTGATATAGCGCCTTATTAAATCGTTAAGACTCCCAAGAGCGGTTCACTGAATATAGTGTACAGTGCAGTGACTTGTGTATTTGTGGGCGAAACGTGGCAGCTAATTACGCACACCAGTGTCCCACAATCGGTCATGGATTGGGTGACCACTTTTTTTTACTAATTCATTTAACCATTTGGTGAATTAAATTAAATAACATTTCTTTCTCACCCCAGCAGTTGCTAAAGTTCAGTTCATTCCAGGAACACTGCATCTGGAGTGATTTCCTAATCTCTCAAACTGCTACGCTGCTTTAAAGAACATTGTAAATAATAATTCTTGTAGGAATAGATCAAAGCAGAGAGGTCCCAAATTCAACTCAGAATACGTTTCCATCTAAAATTTTTTTAAAATAATTTTTAACATGTTTTTCATACAAAAAAGGTTTTACAGCACAAGTATTAGAAGGTACAAGCAGAGATTCCTGATGGCGTGTGAGTGGGTAAACAGCTGGGTGTGGGTGGGGAGTGAGCAGAGGGAAGGAGGCCTGGGGTTGGTGTCAGTTCAGTGGCCCGGTAGCGAGGATTGCAAAGGTCCATTTCCCTGCTTCTGTGTGAGTGCCCGGGGCAGATGGGCAGTGTGGGTTAAAATATGTGCATTAAAAGAAGAGATTTTTAAAATTAAAAACACAGCTGATTTAGAATGTAGAAAATGTGCTCGATAATTGACAGCAAGGATCAGGTATTTATAATAATAATCCTTGCATTTGACACAGCGTCTTATCATGTCTTCGAGACATCGCAAAACGCCTCACAGAATATACTGTAAAGTGAATTGACTGTATTTTGTGGGCGAAATGCGGCAGCCAATTGCGCACAACAGCGTCCCACACACAGCTGTGGATTGAGTGAACAAATTGTTTTTTTAATATATATTTGCACATTTAATCCTAGTCACAGCCCAAAAGGTTCCCTTTCCTAGCAAGGCCTCTGTATTTGGCTACTCATTACTGACGCCGTTGTTGTTGTTGTTGTCCTCTCCGGCCAGTCATGTATTGTTGTCGCATTGTGTTTTCTAGGACCTTGAGGTTCACAAAGGCAATGGAAAGTCAGCCAAGACCATCCGGGTCGGGACACGGAAAAGCCAGGTGAGGCCCCATGATTGTATTTTATGAATGAGCTTGGGCTTTTCTTAGACTCTCTTTTGGGGGGGGGGGGAAAGAGAGGTTTCTTGTTCTGCCCACTTACTCATTTATCTGTGTGGGCAGGAGGGGTGAGTTGTGACTGAGTCATTGTCACTGACTTGGGGAGAGGGTTGTCTACACGATAGCTCCGATAGCAGGGAGGGAGGGGCAGGTGGCCAAGCCAGATAAAAGCCTTTGTTCTGAGAATCTCGTTTCTCGCTAACTGTGAACAATTCTTCTTTGAATTAGTAATCAGGGATCTCACAGGTACCTCTTCACTGCTTCACCAGCTCGGCTCTGCTTCGGCTGTAGTGTGATATATAACGCACAGCACATGCATGAGGTGTGCGTGTGGGGGGTGGGTGAGGAAGAGAGAGACCCTGAATCCCAGTGGCTTCCTTTTCCTCCACAGCTTGGAGCAGTTCAGTTTAAGACACTAGAAACCAGCTAAAATAGTTAAAAGGACCCAATCGCCGAGAGATTGTTCTTGGGAACAGGGACTCCTGTGGTGTGATAGGATCACACAATCCAGAGTGTCCCCAATGCTAAGTCAGCTCGCCTGGCTCTGTGCGGGTTTATAACTGCCCTCTGCTCCCTCCGGCAGCTCGCCCGGACTCAGACCAGCATCGTGGCCGACCAGCTGAAGGAACTCCACCCAGAAACAGAGTTTGAAATCGGTAAGTGCTGAGGGGGGAGGGGAGATGGGGGAATCAGCAACGTGTGCTTGTGTTCTGTTATAAATCGGGGGGAGGGGAAGGGTGGGTAAACCTATCTTGGGTGGTGACTCCACAGTTGGACGCTGAGATCTTGATGTGCAGCTGTTATTCCTGGAGCTGTTACACAATAATAATCCTTGTGTTTGATACAGCGTCTTATCATGTCTTTGAGACGTCTCAAAGCACTTCACAGGATGTATTTTACACAGCTGTGTAAAACACAACTAGTTAAGTTGCCTGTATTTTATGCGCGAAAATGAGAACAGCACCACATCTTGCATTCACACGGCGCCTTCACCTGGAGTAGCATCTCGGAGCGCTTTACAGTGCAACACGCTAACTTTACTGATCATCTCTGTCTTCACAGTTGCCATGTCAACCCTAGGTGATAAAATCCTGGACACCGCTCTCTCAAAGGTACCTTTGGCTTTTGAATTAAGCTACATTTAATTTCCTGTACCTGCTGCCGGAATGGGGGAGGGGGGGCGGAGAGAGAGAAAACAATCTCCACAACTCATTGCAAATTTTATTTACTCTTTTCCTAGATCGGGGAGAAGAGTCTCTTTACAAAGGAGCTAGAAATGGCACTGGAGAATAATGAGTAAGCCTGCAGTGGAGTCAGAGATAGAGAGAATGAGAAAAGTGGGGGAAAACGCCAGAGACTTATTGACTCCACAATCCCTCATTCCCCCTCCCACCCAACTCTCCACCTCACCCAGAGCGAGTGTGCTGCCAACTAAGCCGGGCTGTTACCTAAACAAAGTGTATTGCTGGTTTGAAATAATAATCCTTGCATTTGATACAGCGCCTTATCACGTTTTCGAGACGTCTCAAAGCACTTCACAGAATATACTGTGTATTTTGTGGACAAAACGTGGCAGCCAATTGCGCTCAGCAGTGTCCCACAGACAGTTGTGGATTGAGTGACCACATTATTATTTTAAAAATATTTTTTCTCAAATTGATACAGATTTTACTAAATGAATGTGGATTAAACGTCCGTAATGTTCAGGAGTGTAAAGAGCATCTCAGCCAGTCTTTCCCATTCCCAAATAAACCCCTTGCCTCGTTGCCTTGGATGTGCAGCAGAAGCAGCTCCTTTTAGCTGACATTCTCTCTCTCTTCCCGCCCCCACCTCTCTCCCTTCCCTCTCTCTCCCCTCCCCCCTCTCCCAACCTCTCTATCCCCACTTTTCTTTCTATCTCCCTCCTCTCTCTACCCCACCTCTCTCTCTCTCCCCCTCACCTCTCTCCCCCTCCCATCTCTCCCCCTTCTCTCTCTTCTCTCTCTCTCTCTCCCCCCCTCTCTCTCCCCCCCACTCCATCTCTCCCCCCTCTCACTCCTCTCTCTCTCTCTCTCCCCCCCCTCTCTCTCCCCCCACTCCATCTCTCCCCTCTCTCGCTCCTCTCTCTCGCCCCCCTTTCTCTTCCCCCCCTCCATCTCTCCCCTCTCTCGTTCCTCTCTCTCTCCCCCACTCTCTCTGCCGTTCTCTCTCTTCCCACCTCTCTCTCCCCCCCCTCTCTTTCCCCCTCCCTCCTCCCAATATAGGGTGGATCTGGTTGTTCACTCATTGAAGGACCTTCCCACCACACTGCCTCCCGGGTTTACAATTGGAGCAATCTGCAAGTGAGTATGTGAAGGTTGCAGAAGCAAGGACGCAAATGTTTCCCTTTATGTACAATACTCAGCAGGTCGGACAGCATCTATGGAGAGAGGAAATTGAGTTAACGTCAGAGACGAAAGATCATCGACCTGAAACGTTAACCCACATTCCTCTCTCCACAGATACTGCCTGACCTGCTGCGTGTTCCCAGCGACTTCTGTTTTTATTTCAGATTCTGAGTATTTTTCCTTTTTGTTTATTGCTCCTTTTATATAGTCTCCTTGTTCATACTCAAAGGACTCAACTCAGTTCTCAAAGGCTGATCTTTAATCCTGAGACTATGACCCTAGTTTTAGATTCTCCAACCAGGGGAAACAGTCTCACATTATCCACCCTGTCAAGACCCTTAAGAATCTTATAGGTTGCTATAAGAGATCATCTCTAATTCTTCTATATTCTAGAGAATATAGGCCTAGTCTACTCAATCTCTCTTCGTAGGTCAACCCCCTCATCCCAGGAACCAACCTAGTGAACCTATGTTGCACCCCCTCTAAGGCGAATATATCCTTTCTTAGATAAGGAGACCAAAAGTGCACACAATATTCCAGGTGTAGTCTCACCAGGGCCTTATACAACTGAAGCAAGACTTCCCCACTCTTGTACTCTAACCCCTTTGCAATAAACGCTAACATGTTATTAGACTTCCTAATTGCTTGCTGTACCTGCATACTAACTTTCTGTGGTTGGTGTACAAGGACACCTAAATCCCTCTGAACATTAACACTATCTAGTCTCTCCCCCTCTAGAAAATAATCTGCTTTTCTATGTTTTCTATGTTTTCTACCTGGGTGAATAACTTCACACTTGCCCACATTATACTCCATCAGAAGGGCCACCTTCTTGCCCACTCACTTAATCTGTCTCTATCCCTTTGCATCCTGCTTGTATTCTCCTCACAGCTTACTTTCCCACCGAGCTTTGTATCGTCCGAATTCCTCATCTAAATCATTGATGTCAACTGTAAACAGTTGAGGCCCCAGCACTGATCTTTGTGGCACTCCACTAGTCGCAACCTGCCAACTTGAGAAGGACCTGTTTATCCCTACTCTCTCCTTTCTGGCTGTTAACCATTCTTCTATCCATGCTAATATATTACTTTAATTCCATGAGCCTTAATCTTATGTAACAACCTTTTATGTGGCACCTTGTTGAATGCCTTCTGAAAGTCTTAAGTACACCATCTCCACTGGTTCCCCCTTATCTAACCTGCTAATTACATCTTCAAAAAAAAGATTTGTTGAACACGATTTCCCTTTCGTAAAACCATGTTGACGCTGCCTAATTATATTATGACTTTCTAAGTACTCCATGACGACGTCCCTAATTAGAATTTTCCTAGAATTTTCCCTACCACTGATGTCAGACAAACTGATCTATAGTTCCCCATTTTTTCTCTCCCACCCTTCTTAAATAGCGGTGTTACATTTGCGGTCTTCCAATCAAAGGGAACCATTCCAGGATTCAGGGAATTCTGGAAGGTCAAAAACAATGCGTCCACTATTTCTGCAGCCACCTCTTTTAAAAACCTTAGGATGCAGGCCATCAGGTCCAGGGGATTTATCAGATTTTAGTCCCATCAATTTCTCCAGTACTATTATTTTACTGATATTCATTTCTTTAAGTTTCTTGCTAACTTTAGCCTCTTGGTTCCCCACTATTTCTGGTAAGTTTTTAGTATCTTCCAACGTGAAGACAGAAGCAAAGTATTTGTTTAATGACTCTGCCATTTTTTTATTCCCCATTATAATTTCTCCTGTGTCTGCCTGATCACTTTTGTTAATCTCTTACTCTTTATATACTCGTAAAAGCTCTTACAATCTGTCTTTATATCTCTAGCTAGTTTATTCTCATATTCAATTTTCTCCTTATCAGTTTCTTGGTTATCCTTTGCTGATCTCTAAAGTCCTACCAATCCTCAGGTCTACAGCCCGTTTTGGCACTATTATAGGCCTCTTCTTTTAATTTTATACTTTGCTTAACTTCTCTAGTTAGCCATGGTTGAACCACTTTTCCCGTGGAATTTTTATTTCTCAAGGGAATATGTGTTCGCTGGGAATGATCTAATATATCTTTGAACGTTTGCTATTGCTTGTCTACTGTCATATCTTTTAATCTACTTTTTAGCCAAATCGTCTCTTGTTTCAGACTTAACAACATCACTCTCAAACTTAATATTAAATTCCATCATATTCTGGTCACTCTGCCCGAGAGGAGCCTTAACTTCCAGATTGCTGATTAGCCCTACTTCGTTATACAATACAAGATCTAGGATCCCTGGTTGGTTCCTCAGCATATTGTTCTAGAAAACTATCTCTGATGCATTCTATAAACTCAGCCTCTGATTTACTTTTGCCAATTTGGTTTTCCCAGAAGATTAAAATGAAGATTAAAATCACCCACTAATATTGCATAATAATGAGTGAATAATTAATAAAATTACTCTAAGTAACCCTGCACCCTGCTCTCCAGCGGATAATAATAAAGCGCTTCACAGAATATATTGTAAAGTACAGTGAATATGTATTTTGTGGGTGAGACAATTGCGCTCAGCAGTGTCCCACAAACTGTCGTGGATTGAGTGCCAAATTTGTATTTCTTTTTAAAAAAAATTTTTTGAAGTGATTATTACCCGCGGCAAAGCGATCCAGGGATAATAACAGCCGGGTTCCTACTTACTGCTGGGTAAACAGAGGTGTGTGGAGTAAGGAAACGTGCCCAGCTTTTCGCCCTGCCCGGGAATCGAACCCAGGTCCTCTCGCTTGCGAGGCGAGTGCTCTAACCACTGAGCTACAGGATTAGCTGTTTTAGAGATTAACGACTGGTTGTGCACTGCTGGTTAAACGTTGTGTGACGTTACACTGGGCTGTTATAACGCTTTCTTGTTACAGGCGTGAGACACCATTCGACGCTGTGGTTCTGCACCCCCGGAATGCCGGCAAATCCCTGGCAACGTTGCCCGACAAGAGGTAAGGCCAGCGTCAGGCTGCTTTCTCTCTATATCTCTCTCGCCCTGAGCGTGGGAGCAGGATTGTCACTCAAAATGTTATCGAGGGATAAGGGGCGAGGGTGCGTAATTGGAGTTGAGGTACCAGTCAGCCATGATCTTAGAGAAAGGCAGAACAGGCTCGAGGGGCTGAATGGCCTCCTCCTGTTTCTAGGTTGCTATGTTCCTGACACGTCAGCCTGAAGTTTTAATGTTTCTCTCCTCTCCGCAGTGTGGTGGGGACCAGCTCACTGAGACGAGCAGCTCAGCTCAAAAGGCGGTTTCCACACCTGGAATTCAAGGATATTGTATCCTTCCACACGTTTCTGACTCAATGTTTCTGATTCAATGCGACTGCACAAAGTAGTGGCAGTGAATTAATCTATCGGGGGGTGATGATGGTGGTGGGGGGGGCGGGGGGGAGACAGGTGCCCAGGTGAGAGAGGGCTGCTGTGGAGTTGAAGGTGATGTTCGGCCCAGTGAGGAATGGCTTGTTGGGTACCCAGGCAAGAGAGAGAGAGAGAGATGTACAGAGTTGAGTGGTGGTGGTGGAGGTGGAGATGGTGATGGAGGGGGTGGGGGGGAATGGCTTGTGGTGGTGTTGTTGTTGTTTGTGTTTAACCACATGCTCGCAGCGAGGAAACCTGAACACGCGGCTAAAGAAACTGGATGAGAAGGAGGACTACAGCGCCATTGTGCTGGCAGCAGCGGGACTGCGGCGGATGGGCTGGCAAAGCCGCATCAGCCAGGTACAGCCTCAGACTCGCCCGCGCAGTGCCGGGGCTTTGTCACCCCACAGGTTAGCGCAGGGAATAACTCAACAACTTTAGTGCCACCCACCCCACCCCCAAGGAGGGACAGCTGTGTCCACACCTCTGCTTCCTTGTGTAGACTTGTTGGAAGAAGCCATTTAACGCATCGTGCCTGTGGCGGCCTCTGTAACAGCCCTTCCCCCCCTCTCCCCACACACCACCCGCTCCATCATGGCTGTTCTCAGCAAGCAGAATGCCCCCACTGTTTCCACACCCCCCACCATCACCAAACACACAGACAGACAGTAACCCGTGTCTGCTTTCTCTGCAGGTTCTGGAGCCTGAGGATTGCATGTACGCTGTCGGACAGGTCAGTGAGGGAGGGAGTTCACACCACAGCGCACACACTCCCCACAAACACACACACACACACTCACTCCCCCCACACACACACACTCCCCCCATACACACACACTCCCCCCATACGCACACACTCCCCCCGTACGCACACACTGCCCCCATACACACACACTGCCCCCCACACACACACTCCCCCCACACGCGCACACTCCCCCCTCACGCACACACTCCCCCCTCACACCCCAACCCAAAGCCTGTAATATTTCTCCTCTTCATGGAATCATAGCACAGAATACAGCACAGAAGGAGGCCATTCAGCCCATCATGTCGGTGCCGGCTCTTTGAAAAGAGCTTCCAAATCAACCTCACTCCCCCGCTCTCTCCCTATAGCCCCGATCAACCCCACTCCCCCGCTCTCTCCCCATAGCCCCGATCAACCCCACTCCCCCGCTCTCTCCCCATAGCCCCGATCAACCCCACTCCCCACTCTCTCCCATAGCCCTGATCAACCCCACTCCCCTGCTCTCTCCCCATAGACCTGATCAACCCCACTCCCCCGCTCTCTCCCCATAGACCTGATCAACCCCACTCCCCCGCGCTCTCCCCATAACCCTGATCAACCCCACTCCCCCGCTCTCCCTATAGCCCTGATCAATCCCACTCCTCCGCTCTCTCCCCATAGCCCTGATCAACCCCACTCCCCCGCTCTCTCCCCATAGACCTGATCAACCCCACTCCCCCGCTCTCTCCCCATAGCCCTGATCAACCCCATTCCCCCGCTCTCCCACAGCCCTTATCAACCCCACTCCCCCAACCTCTCCCCATAGTCCTGCGAACTTGTTCTCCCCAAATAATTATCTATTTCTCTCTTAAACCAGCCTTTCAGGCACCGTTTTCCATTTCCAATTTATATTGTATTCCACAAAATCGTATTTTGCCCACAAAATATACAGTCAATTCACTTTACAGTGTATCCTATTTTGAGTGTAACTTTGAGACGTCTCGAAGACGTGATAAGGAGCTGTATCTAATGCAAGGATTATTATTATTATTAAGAGTGAACAACAACAACTTTCATTTATATAGCGCTCCTCACGCAGGGTAGTGTCAGAGCACTTGAAATGTGAGTGAATGAGAGTGAACTGTGTTGCAGGGTGCCCTGGCTGTGGAGGTACGAGTGAACGACCACGAGGTGCTGGACATGGTGTCGGTGCTGAGCCATGTGGACACTGTGCTGCGCTGCATCGCAGAGCGCTCCTTCCTCAAGCAGCTGGTAACCGCCCACCTTCACCTTGTATTTAATAAGACGCTTTCTCTCTCAGTTCTCAGCCTCACCTGTGATGTGGGGGACTTTCTGGCTTGCAAACAATAAAGTGCACTCTGCTTCTAACCCAGCACCCAGCTCTATGTGCTGGGCTGGCTTAGCAGCTGCTCTCAGCTCGTGTCTTTCTGTGTGAGCCCAGCGGGTGGGTATTAGACTGATCTGTCCTCATGCGCACAGCCTCCGGCCTGCTCCACGTTCCCAGCCCGGCCCTCTCCATCATCACCGGTCAGGTCTTCAGCCTCTCTGCTCCCACCCTTTGGAACTCCATCCCACAGACACTTCACCTCACTTCCTCCCTCGCCTCCTTCAAAGCCTGTCTCAAGACCCTCCTCTTCAACGGTGCCTTCCACCACCCTTCTACCCCCATCCTCCACGACTTCCACCCCCTCCTGATCCCATCCCCCAGCTTGGGTCCAAATCCCTGACTGTCCAACACCTTGGGATGTCCTCCCGACATGAGCAGCGCTGTGTAGCTGTCGTGTTATTGTTGGTGTCTGTATAGTAATCAGGAACACTAGGGACTGACTAACAAGCTCACTAAGTGACCAGCTAATGAGGTGTTGTATGTCTTGTGCAGGAAGGGGGTTGCAGTGTGCCTGTCGCTGTCCACAGCATCATTAAAGGAAATCAGGTACTGGTCCTGGTGTCTCGCTCGACTTTGTCAGTAAACCCCATTGTGTGTTTCCGGCTGGTTTTCATTCCCAATGTCCTCTCTCACAGCTCTACCTCACGGGAGCCGTGTACAGCCTGGATGGGTCAGAGAGCCTGAAAGACACAATGCAAACTGGTGTATGTACAGAACCTCAGGTACGTGTATATGTATATATATATACACCCACACAACTCATCTTCCCCCACACCACGCACACACACCCCTCGCGCACACCCCTCACATTCACCGCTCACCCCCACAAACCCCTCACACACACAAACCCTTCATACACACATCCCTCACACACGCACACCCCTCACCACCCCACCCACATATACCCTCACCTCTCCCCCCCCCCCACACACACACCCCTCACCTCCCCTCCACACACACCCCTCACCTCCCCACCACACACACCCCTCACCCCCCCACTCACGCACACACACAGCCCTCACACACACCCCTTACACACACCCCTCACCTCCCCCCACACACATACCCCGCATACCCCACATACACACACCCCTCACCTCCCCGACTCATACACGCACACGCACACCACACACACACACCCCGCACACACAACCCTCCCCCACACACACCCCTTGCCCCCACACACCCCTCCTCCACCACACACACATGCACCCCTCACATACACACCCCTCCCCCCCCACACACACCTCTCCTCCTCCCCCACACAAACCTCACACATACCCCTTCCCCCCACACACCACTTCCCTCACCTCCCTACCCCCACACACGCACACAGCCACTCACACACCCAAGAGAGGGGGGTTGGAGGGTGTGTGTGTGATTGTGAGTCGAGATGAAGGGTGGGGGTACTGTAATGATGAGACTGAATTGCCCACAGCACTGAAACAGCCCTGGGGGTCAAAGTCACTAATGACATTCTGAACATCTGTGACAGGACTCCCTCTGTCTCCTTGTCCTCCTCGACCTCTCTGCCGCCTTCGACACTGTCGACCACTCCATCCTCATACACCGCCTCTCCTCTTTACTTAATCTTCGCGGACCTGCCCTTGCCTGGCTCGATTCCTGTCTCTCTCACCGTCTCCATTTTGTTGCCTCTAACGGTTTCTCCTCCAGCCCCGCACTGTCACGTCTGGCGTCCCCCAGGGCTCTGTCCTTGTCTCCTCTTTAATATCTACATGGTCCCCCTCGGTGACATCATCCGCAGACATGGGGTCAACTTCCACATGTATGGGGATGACACCCAACTCTATCTTTCTGCCTCCACCCTCAACTCCAGGACCACTGCTGTCCTGACAGACTGTCTGTCGAACATCAAGTCCTGGATGAGGGCAGATTTCCTACAGTTGAATGTGAACAAGACTGAGGCCCTCCTGATTGGCTCAAACCAGCGCCTCCGCACCTCAGGCTCCGGCAGCATCACCCTCCACGGTTGGACACTACAACTCACCGCCAGTCAGGAACCGAGGTGTCTTGTTTGACCCTCAACTGCCTTTTCTCCCCCACATCCAAGCCATGACCCGCTCGGCCTTCCCTCACCTCCGTAACATGGCCCGACTCTGCCACTACCTCATCCCTCAGGCGCTGAAACTCTTGTTTATCCCTTCATCACCTCCAGGCTCGACTATGCAAATGCCCTGCGTGTCGGCCTTCCCAACTCCTCCCTCCACAGACTGCAGATAATCCAGAACTCTGCAGCCCGTGTCCTCTCCCGCACCAAACTCCGTGACCCCACCTCGCCCCCTCCTTAGCCTCAAGACCCTCCTCTTCGACCATGCCATCGGCCACACCCCTTCCCCTCCCCTCCCCCCCAACCCCAGCTCAGGTCTGAAATGATGTCGCTTTGGGACGTCCTCCCGACATGAAATGCACTATACACATGTAATCTTGTTGTTATAAGGTCTAAGGTCCTTGAGAGAGCCGTCGCCTTCTAGCTTTGCTCTTTCTTCTCCTCCCACTCTCTCCATGAGCCCCTCCAATCGGGTTTCCATGCTGCCAACAGCACGGAAACTGCTCTGGTCAAGGTCACAAATGACATCCTGACCTCTCCGCCGCCTTTGATACCGTGGACCATTCAATCCTCCTCCACTGCCTCTCCTCCTACCTCAACCTTCAGGTTCTGTCCTTGACTGGTTCAGGTCCTACCTTTCACACCGCCTCCACTTCGTCTTTGCAGATGGCTTCTCCTCCAGCCCCCGCACCATCTCGTGCGGTGTTCCTCAGGGCTCTGTCCTCGGTCCCCTCCTCTTCACCCTCTACATGCTCCCTCTTGGTGACATCATTCGCAGACATGGGGTAAATCTCCACATGGATGCAGACGACACCCAACTCTATCTCTCTGCCTCCACCCTCAACTCCAGGACTATTGGTGTCCTAACCAACTGCCCGTCCCACATCAAGTCCTGGATAAAGGATAACTTTCTCCAACTGAACGTCAGCAAGACCGAGGCCCTCCTGATTGGCTCATGCCAGCGCCTCCGCACCTCCCTGTGTGTGGTGGAGGAGGGTTGTGTGTGCGGGGAACCTGGGGGTCTTGTTTGACCCTGAACTGTCCTTTCTCCCCCACATCCGCACCATGACCAGCACTGCCTACCACCACCTCCGCAACATTGCCAGACTCCGCCACTGCCTCACCCCTCAGGCCCCCAAACCCTCACCCAGGCATTTGTCACCTAAAGGCTCGATTACGGAAACTCCCTCCTCGGTGGCCTTCCCAACTCTTCCCTTCACAGCTGCAGATCATCCAAAACTCTGCAGCTCGTGTTCTCTCACGCACCAGGCTCCGCGACCCCATCACTCCCACCCTCGCTCGACCCCATCACTCCCACCCTCGCTCGACCCCATCACTCCCACCCTCGCTCGACCCCATCACTCCCACCCTCACTTGACCCCATCACTCCCACCCTCGCCCGAGTCCACTGGCTCTCCATCCCCAGAGAATCGAGTTCAAGATCCTCGTCCTCGAGGGGGCAAGGTAGGATCCACGGCCTTGCCCCCTCCTACCTCTCTGACCTGCTGCCTCCCTGCCTACCTGTTCAGCGGGCTCCAGTCTGCTACATGTCTCCCATCGGTGGCTGGGCTTTCAGCCTCTCTGCCCCCACACTCTGGGAATCCATCCCACGGTCCCTTCGCCTCGCTTCCTCCCTTGCCTCCTTCAAGGCCGGTCTCAAGACCCTCCTCTTCGATCGTGCCTTCAGTCGCCCTCCCACCTCTCTGCCTTCCCTCACTCCTACCCCCCCCCTCCCCCATGCTTGGGTCCTGGCCCCAGACTGTCCAGCTCCGTGGATTGTCCCCCTGACATGAAAGGCGCTCTAAAAATGTAATTTTGTAGCTGTTTTTTAAAAGAAAATTAGAAAATTATTTGGGGAGGACAAGTTTTCAGGGCTATGGGGAGAGGGTGGGGGAGTGGGGTTGATCAGGGCTATGGGGAGAGTGCGGGGGAGTGGGGTTGAATTGGACGCTGGGCCGAAAGGTCTCCTTCTGTGCTATATGATTCTAAGATGTGTTTCTTTCAGGGAGAAGATGGAGCGGATGACACGCAACACGTGGGGGTCACGGCCAAGACCGTGTCACGAGGGGCGCTGGCGGGAGCCGACCGGCTGGGCTCAGACCTGGCTAACCTGCTACTCAGCAAGGGGGCCGGGCAGATCCTCACCATAGCCAGGCAGCTGAACGACGCCAGATAATCACTGCGGGCGGCTGGAGAGAGAGTTAGACAGTGTAGACGGGGAGTGAACATTTTACCATATTTGTTGAGCAGCAAAGTGAAGTTCCCACCTGGAGCCTTCGATTTGCTGCTTAACAAACATCGTGAAAATGTGCTGTTCTGTGGGACTATCCCCCCCTCCCCCAGAGCAACGCATCATTCCACACAGCCGTTCCCACAGCTTTCCCATTCGTCAGGAACACTGTGGTGAGTGAGCCAGCGGGCTGGGCTGATAATGCTCCGTCTCTTAAACGATTTCTTAATGAATTACCTTGTGTGTGTGTGGTTGGCGGGGGAAGGGGCAGAGAACTCTGCAGAGTCAGTAACCGGGATTACGTCGCTCCGATTAATCGGTGTCGGAGCCACATTCTTGTGACTCGGAGTCACCACACACTTCTGGATTCATCGCTTGAGAAATCGGTTGAGATTCGGGGTATTATAAATAATAATAATCCTTGCATTTGATGTTTTCATGTTTTCAAGACGTTTCATATACTGTGAAGTGAATTGAGTGTGTATTTTATGGGCAAAACAATGATATAAATAATCATAATCATTTGGTCACTTAATCCACAGTTGGGATTTAAGATGTCTTGGGATGCTGCTGTGCGCACTTGGCTGCCGTGTTTTGCCCACAAAATATACAGTCACTGGGTTATCCATGAAGATGTAATGTATCCTTTGAAGCACTTTGAGATGTCTCAAAGACATGATAAGGTGTTGTATCAAATGTGAGGATAATTATTATTGTGAAACCTGGGGTCAGAGTGGTGGGAAGGGACAGCCATTGTATAGAGGTGTGAGTGAGTGTTTTACACACAGTATACTGTGGACACTGGATTTATTGGGGGAAGGGGCTAATCACTGTGTGTTGTAGTCAACCTTTTTTTATTTACTTTCCCTTACCCCCCAGTTGTTTTTATTTAAATCCAAAGGCAGCTGTTATTCTGTTTCAAGTGTTTCTCACTGTTTTAGCCTAGTTTCTGTTTTTAAACACAAATATTTTTAATGAAGTATGAAGGACTAGTGGTGAGAGGGCAGAGTTCCTGTGATTGAGGCTGAACCCTCCAGCCAAACAGCCCGCGCGTTACACTGAATCTCAGCGTTTTGCTCGGCAGCCGCAGCCCTGTCCTCAGCCAATCTGCTGAATGTTTTTTTCCTTTTCAAAGTGCCTGAATTTCTTTGAATGGCTTTATATTCAATGTTGCCTTTTTAACATGGGGGTGGGGGGGAAGAGGTGGGAGGGGAGAGAGAGAGAGATGGGGGGGAGAGAGGTGATAATTTGAGCTGGATTTACAGTTGGGTTTAATGGGCACACACAGCACTGCCCCCAGCTGGGCTGTCCATGACAGCAGACCCTCCCTCCATTGCTCAGTGGGTTCCACTTCAAAATGTTGCTGTAACCTTTAGCTGTTGATTTGGGAGGGAGAATAATATCAGCTGGAGCTTCATAGATAATCTAGTCAGCAGCATCCAGCCACATACATACCTGATCAGTGTAGGAGTGAGTACCTTATACAGGTCTCTGCTGCTAAACAAATACTCTCTATTACAGTATTGAGCACTGGGAATCTCCTGGTGGGCTCATGTTCCTTGAACACAGTGTGTAAGAGTTTACAGGTCATCAGGAATGAAGCGAGAGAGAAAGCTCGCCTGACATACAGTAACCTGGTTGGTTAAGCTGGTTTCCAGTGGCTTCTGTGATGGGGTGGTTCTGCTAGTTACTGTGACTGACAGATGATCACACAATAAACTAGATGGAAGTAAACAAGATGTTTGGGGAATTTTCTTCCAGCCTGGATTCTCAGCAGTATGGCTCTGCATTCACTCTGCCAGTGTCCACAACGTGTACAACAGCAACAACTTGCATTTATACAGCGCCTCTCATGTCAGAGGGACATCCCAAGACACTGGACAGTGGAAGGTTTGCTCCCAAGCTGGAGTTTGGGATCAAGGAGGGTCATAGGAGTGGGATGGTCAAAGATGAAGTTTTGAGACAGGCCTTAAAGGAGGCGAGAGCGGGAGTGAGGGGAAGGGATTCAGAAATGGGAGTTCTAGAGGGTGGGGGCAGAAAGCCCAAACACTGATGGTGAGGTGGTCATGTAGATGTGTGGGAGCCAGGGTAGATAGTGAAGGAGATATTCACTACAATGGGACACAGGTTTCCTTACCAGCTAATCCCAGCCATACACACAGCATTCCATCTGGCACCTTTGTAGAAAAGTGTTTCACAATACTGTCGTGAATGAACTACATTTTGTGGCCAAAACACGGCAGCCAATTGCACACAACATCACATAATACAGACAAAGCCAACATCCCTCTTAATAATAATCCTTGCATTTGATATACCGCTTTATCACATCTTCATGACGTCTCAGAGCACTTCACAGAATAGTTATGCAAGTTTTAAAAAAACTTCCAAACTGCAACTTCAAAAAAACTACAGAAACTGGGTCAGAGTTTAAAAAAACGAGTGCCTTTTATTTCATACATTTTCATCATTAACTTTAAAAAATTTAAACATGGCAAGTATAAGTATGGCCACATTCATGTGGACAATACATCTTGTGCTTCTAGAGAAGATTCATAAATATTCTATTAAAATCTTTTTTCATATACAAATCGAGAGCGAGGTAGGTTAAGAACTGGTTTAGTGCTACCAAGTGCAGATTCAAGCTAAAAAAATGCCAGTACTGTACACAAGTTTAATATACCACAAGGGGAGAGAGCCCATCACCCATTCATTCCCCTTAATAGTCTCACACAGGCAATAGAGACAAACATTAATGCTGGCTTCCACCATGCACACACACACTGGGGGATGGAGCAAACGGTCTCAGCGTTTAGTGTTCACCCAGTGATACCTATCCACACGTGGACCAGTAAATATTGAGGACGCTCTGTACATTCTATAGGGTTTTTGTGCTTGATGGTAGCTGCTGTACTCATCAGAGGGGAGGGTCTTGCGAGTGAACTTGGGCCACACCGCAGTCACTGGCAGGCGGTAGAAATCACTGAACTGTAAGGCAAAGGGCAAGGTCAGCTATAATAATAGTATTTAATACAGTGCCTTAAGATGCCTTCAACATGTCTCACAGATATACTGTAGTGAAGTGAATTGAGTGAATTTTGTGGGTGAAACCAGCAGCCACACAGCAGCGTCCCACAAACAGTTGTGAATTAAGTGACCAAATTATTACTATTTTTGTTTCAAAAGTTTTTTTTGAAGGGATTATTATCCCCAGAAAGCAATCTGCCAATCACCTGACAACCAGGTTTCTACTTACTGCTCGGTAAACAGAGGTATGTGGAGTAAGGAAACTTGCCCAACATTTCACCCTATCATCGAACCCAGGTCTCTCGCTTGTGAGGCGAGTGCTCTAACCACTGAGCTACAGGACTCCAGTTGTCTGCCAATCACTGGCCGGGGTTCAAGGGCAGTTGGTGGCTGGACAGGTACAGGTGAGAAATTCAGTCCCAGTCAAAACTGAACACAAGAATTTTGCCAGGTCAGAGTTGAAAACTACATCCTGTGGTGGCATTGACTTTCCCTCCTCCCCAATAATAATATTTGATATGGCACCTTATCACATCATTGAACATCTCAAAGCATTTCTCAGAATATACTGTGGAGTGACTGTATTTTATGGGTAAAACACGGCAGCCAATTGCGCACAACAGTGTTCCACAAACAGTCGTGGATTTAGTGACCAGATTATTATTATTAGTGGCTTCTAAAATGTCCTCATCAATTTGCAAACATTTTATGAAAGATTTTAAAAGATTCTTGGTGGACTTTGGACATAAATACAAATTGGGCAAAAATATGAAAATGAATAACCATGCCAGCCTTCTAGTGAGGATCTTATCCTGCGACTGGTTAAGATCAGAGTTTGTCATTACTAACAGGAGCCGAGGATACAGTTAAGGTCAAACCTCTCACTTAAGGCACAACTGATCACAAGTGAAGTTGGGGCAAATCCATTGTGGTCAATCCGGTCAAAGAGGGAGAGGACATAGGACACAACATTTGGGGTGGGGGGGGGTGTGGGGAGAGAGAAGAATCACAAAGTCTGTAGAAATGTAGAGGATCTGGGAGATGCGAGGTGTATGTTCTGCCCCCTCGCCCCACCCCCCTCATTCCCCCAACAGTAAAGACCCCTACGCTGCACTCAAATTATCCAATTCCCTCAACCCAAAAGAACATCCACAAGTGGGTCTGGACATTACCCCATTACCCCATGCTACCAATGGCAAGTTATGCAGGTTTAGCTGGTTAAACTCCAGCAGCTGCCAGGAAATGTTACAAACTCCCTGCGCGTGTGTGCAAGTGCACAATTTTCCCCCCTCCCAGCCCTGGTATAAACCTCTCCCTGTCCTCTGGTACTGTTCCCACCCCATTAAAAACTGCTGTCATCACTCCTATCCTTAAAAAACTCTCCCTGGATCCATCTCTACTCAAACTACCGCCCCATCTCCAGCCTCCCTTTCCTCTCCAAGGTCCTGGAACAAGTTGTTGCTTCTCAGCTTTGCTCCTTCCTCTCCCACCACTCCCTTCTCGAACCACTCAATCGGGTTTCTGTGCCGCCCACAGGAACAGCCCTGGTCAGTGACAAATGATATTCTGTCCATCTGCGACCAGGGCTCCCTCTGCCTCATCCTCCTTGACCTCTCTGCTGCCTTAGTCACCATCGACCACTTCATCCTCATCCATCGCCTCTCCTCTCACCTCAACTTCCACAACTCTGTCCTTGACTGGTTCAGATCGTACCTCTCACACCGCCTCCATTTCATCTCCACAAAAGCTTCTCCTCCAGCCCCTGCACTGTCTCGTGTGGTGTCCCCCAGGGCTCTGTCCTTGGTCCCCTCCTCTTCACCCTCTACTTGTTCCCCCTCGGTGACATCATCCGCAGACATGGGGTCAACTTCCACATGTATACGGATGACACCCAACTCTATCTCTCTGCCTCCGCCTTTGACTCCAGGACCCACTGCTGTCCTGACAGAATGTCTGTCAGACGTCAAGTCCAGGATGAGAGCGAACTTTGTTCAGTTGAACGTCAACAAGACCGAGACTCCTCCTCAGCTCAGGCGCTGACAGCATCACCATCCAAAGAATCATACAGCAGAAAAAGGGCCATTTGGCCCATCGAGTCTGTGCGGCTCTTTGAATAGAGCAATGTAATGTCAACCCCACTCCCCGGCCCTTTCCCCATAACCTGCAAACCCGTCATCCTCAAATACCCGTCCAGCGCGTTTTTAAAAGCTGTTATCGAATTGACCTCGACCGCCCTTTCAGGCAATGTGTTCCAGATTCGAACAACTCGCTGCATGAAAACATTTCTTCTCCCCTCCCCTTCTTTTGGAGACTATTTTGAATCTGTGACCTCGAGTCACCGACACACACCCCCAGTGGGAACAGTTTTTCTGTTTGTAACCTATCAAATCCCCTCATGATTTTGAAGACCTCCATCAGGTCCTCGTAACCATCTCTGCTCCAATGAGAATAATCCTAACCTCTCCAGCCTTTCCTCATCATCACGGTCCCTCATTCCTGGTACCATCCTCATAAATCTCCTCTGTACCCTTTCCAATGCCTTAACATCCTTCCTATAGTGTGGTGCCCAGAACTGGGCGCAGTATTCTAACTGAGGCCTAACCAGTGTTTTATATGGGTTAATCATAACCTCCTGATTCTTGTACTCTATGTCCCTATTTATAAAGCCTAGAATCCCATTTGCCCTTTTTTACAGCCTTATCTACCTGTCCTGCCACCTTCAAGGATTCATTTACCCCCATGGCTGCACACTCCACCTCACTGAGCCAGTCCGGAACTTTGGGGTCTTGTTTGACCCTCAACTATTCTTTCTACACCACATCTGCGCCATGACCCGCTCTGCCTTCCCCATCTCCGCAACATCGCCTGGCTCCACCACTGTCTCACACCGCAGGCCTCCAAGACCCTCATACATGCCGTCATTACATCGAGGCTTGACTATGCAAACTCACTACTTGTGTTGGCCTCACCAACTCCTCCCTCCACAGGCTGCAGATTCATAGAATGTTACAGCACAGAAGGAGGCCATGCGGCCCATCGAGTCTGTGCCGGCTCTTTGACAGAGCGTCACTTTCACTAACCCCAATCACCAACTTTCTCCCCATAACCCTGCAAACCTGTCTTCCCCAGATACCTATCCAGTTCTCTCTTAAAAGCTGTTATCGAATCGGACTTCACTGCCCTTTCAGGCGGATCATTCCAAATTCCAACAACTCACTGAGTGAAAACATTTCTTCTAACTTCCCCTCTGCTTCTTTGGTAGATATCTTAAGATCATCCAGAACTCTGCAGCACATGTCCTCTCCTGCACCAGGCTCCGTGACCCCATCACCCCCATCCTCGCCCGACTCCACCGGCTTCCCATCACACAGAGGATACAGTTCAAGATCCTGGTCCTCACCTTCAAAGCCCTCCATGGTCTTGCGACCTCCTACCATCCTGCTCACTCCCTCCACTCAGCGGGCTCCGGCCTGCTTCATGTCTCCCGCCTTGCTCGTCCCACAATTGGCAGGCAGGCATTCTGCCACTCTGCCCTCACCCTCTGGAACTCCATTCTGCAGTCACTCCACCTCGCCCTCTCCACCTTCAAGACCAATCTCAAGTCCCTCCTCTTCAACCATGCTTTCGATCTCCCTGCTTCCCCCCTCCCCCGCCCACCCTCCACTCCGACCCCCAGCTCGGGTCAGTAACTTTGTCTGTCCAGCACCTTGAGACATCCCTCCGACGTGAAAGGCGCTTTACACATGTCATTTTCGTTGTTTGTACCTGGTAAATGCTGTTGGGGTTGTGGACTCGCGGGATTTTCTGGGGCTCATCAGTCCCACGTTCCCACTCCTCTCTCCTGAAGTACTCGTTGTGGACGCTGTTAGGGTTGCTCACAATGGGTATGTTGGCTCCGATCTCCCCATTGTAGCCGTCCTCTCTCCCCGCCTCCAGCTCTGGGGCCTGGTCATTCACAGACAGGGTGACCAGCTCCCGGACAATCTCCTCGTCAGAGGACATGCCAGAGGGATAGTCCCAGGACACAATCTCAGCAGCACGGTTGATGTCTCTGAAGATCTCGGAGTCTTGGTCGTCATCTTGCAACCGGGTCACAGTGAATGGCTGGTTTTTCTCTCCACACCTGAGAGCGGGAAGAGAGGTCAGGCATCAAACAAGGTAGCTTGACCGGGTATCAGCATTCCCCGTTTCCTGGCATTCCGGTGCTGGGAACGCTCAGGGGTACCTGGCTGTGATGGCACATTCGGCTCAGCATTCTCAGGGCATAGACCAGCCCATCACTCCCATCATGTGGGCAAGATAAGCTGATGGGGGAGTAAACCTCCCCTCCCCCGTCCATTGTCGCTGGAGCCCACACTAGTTAAACCCCCAGACTCCCAGCACTCTCAATGGCAAGTTATCCGGTTTTAGCTGGTCAGACTCCAGCAGTTACCCCAACAAACTCTAGGCTCCCCCTAAGCCTTGGCTTTTGCCAACCTGCATCTAATACTTTCTGTTTTAGCTAAGCAGGATGCGTTCATCCAGAGAGAGAGAGAGAGAGAGAGAACATTCCATTCCAACAATCTATCTCTGGGATTTCCATGTGTAGGCAAGTGGGAAGCATGGAATTCTCAGCTTGGTTTGGAGACACGTAAGCATGGTGATGGGCTTCCGTGTGTGTCAGCTGGCCAAAAAAAACAGGGTCCCAATTTTCTCTCCTCTGAAGGGCTGGGAAGAGAGGGGAAGGGAGATAGAGAGATTGCACTGGTTTCCTCAGATTCTGACTGCCCAGCTATCTCCTAGTTAGTGGCTATTTACCTACTCAGCTGCTAGACAGACACACACCCCCACCAGACACAATCCCCACCTTCCCGGCTGGGTAGACAGATCTACACAACACACACGTGTATCCCAGAGATGGATTGTTGGACTGCACTGTCTCCCTGGAGGGACACTTCCTGCTAACCTGCACGAGGTGAGAGTGCAGTGAGATTGCTGACCGGCTGGTTACAGGAGCTGGAGGCTGAAAGGATGACTTACCGACAGCAAACCTCGTGAGGATCCACCCAGATCGTCAGCTCCCTCGGCAACTCGAGGGCTGCGTACTCCACCTCGCTCTCCTTACAGGCCTGCAGCAGCGCGAGGTCCACAGGCTGCACAGTGTTTACCCGGATACACCTGGGTGGGGGTAGAGAGAGGGGGGGCTTCACACTCACTGCAACAAGGCTTCAGCCCCACCACCCCCTACACCCAGGAGAGCAGATGAGGTTGAGGCCATTCTCTCCAAGAAAAAACTGATCCCAAGTTGGAGACATTGACTCGCTTGGAAATTCTGGATGTAAAGAGTGGAGATTATTCCCCAGAGGAGGGGGAGTTGGAGCCTCTCTGGACTTAGGGGAGAGAGGTGTTTGGAAGTTGGGGAGTCTCCCCAGGTTTAATCCTTGCATTTTGATATAGCGCTTTTCACGTCTTCTCGACGTCTCAAAGCGCTTCACAGAATATACTGTGAAGTGAATTGACTGTATATTTGTGGGCGAACGCGGCAGCCAATTGCGCACAGCAATGTCCCACAAACAGTCGTAGATTGATAATGACCAATTTATTATTGTTTTTTGTTTTGGAGGGACTATTATTTGAGGGGATGGGGGGAGTTGCCCCAGTGTTTTGGGGAGGCTGGAGGTGGGGATTCTCCCCAGGGTCGGGGGGGCTCTCACCGGTAAGCCTGGCCGCGGTGGGGGGTGTCCGGGTACCAGTGGTTCTTGTATTTCTCAAACAGGATCTTGGTTAAGCGGCCCCCGAACCTGCCCATTTTCCTGCTGCCCACATGGCCTCCCTTCCTGACCAGGCTGGAGATAAACACCACCGTTGCTGCGATCTCCTCCTTCATCGTGTGGACCTCACCCTGACCAACAGCTCCGGGGGGGGTGGGGAGGAGAGACAACAACACATTATATTTATGGAGCACCTTTCACGTCAGGAGGAGTCAGGGATTTGGACCTGAGCTAGGGTTTGAGATCAGGAGGGGGTGGAGGGCAGGGAGGGTAAGGGTGAGAAGGTGCAGTTGAAGAGGATCTTGCGATGGAGCTTGAAGGAGGCAAGGAGCGAGGCAAAGGTACCATTGGATGGAGTTCCAAAGGGTGTGATTACTGTCTCCACATGGGAAACTAACCCCAAGTCTCTGAAAAATGTCAGACCACCTCCCCCCACCTCTAAGGTAAACCCTGGGACATTCTTTGTAAGTCTTCAGAATGCAATTGAGTCAGTTTGACTTAGAACCAAAGTCATTGCCCAGAAACAAGTAGAGAACAAAAACAACATGCATGTATACATGGCCCCTCACGCAGGGCAACGTCCCAGAGATTCTGAGAGGATTGGGCAGTCACCTGAGCTGCAATTCAGAGCTAGTTAGCCAATAAATCCAATCTAATCAGGAAAACAGAGCAGAGCATCACAAGACTGGGATTCAGGGGACAACCATGTGACCTCTCTCTCCTTGTCAGTCCAACACAGAGCAAGACACCACCTGCTGTGCAAACTGTGCATCTCCTCTTTATACCTTCATAACAGCCACGTAGTAAAGAAACCACTGTATTAACACATTTACAGTGTTGGCAAGACCAGGGTTGTTGGAAGATGTAAGTAAACTTTAAGCCAATCAGAATATGATTAGTTAACCCACCCCCATACTCCATTACTGTCTTAAGTTAGACCAGAACTTAAGTACTAGAAGTTGATCATGGATAAATAATTAGACACTTAACAGAACTAGCTTTGCCCACATAAACCACTTTTACAGTAAATCCTGTGTTCTTTGAGACATCCTCCCAACATGAAAGGCACTGTTTGTATAACAAATATAATTATCACAGTTGCTAACTACACCCCCTTCTCCCCAGCAATAAAGTGGCCAAATTACAGTCACTCAGAGAGTTCCTTACACACAGCATATACTTCCTGGATCTTAAAACTATCAACATACCTCACACCACAAAATAAAATCTCAAAACCACTCACTGGAAAAGTCAGCCACTATGGCTGTTGTGGCTTTTATAGGGAACCAGGGAGCGCGAGGACTCTGGTCTCATTGCCTTATTACATTCACATGTTCTCAATGAAGTGTTAAATGAGACAATGTTGAGAGAGAGATCAGCCAGTCAGATCAGACTGGCAATTACCTTATTTAAGATCATTTGTTTTAGCCTCAGGTTTGTTATATTCATTGATGATATGTGAATATATTATGATTATTATTAATTCTTTACCTAGCAGTAAATAGCAACATGGTTGTTAGTTGATTGGTGGATCACTTTCCCGGGGTAATAATCCCTCAAAAATTCTCCACGATAGGGAGAGAGCAGGGAATGGGATTAGAGCAGAGAGCTCCAGTGGGGGAGCGAGCACCAGCACAGACACCATGGGGAGAGCAGAGGATGGGATTAGAGTACAGAGCTCTAGGGCTATGTTGTGATTATATTACCAGGATGCATTTGTGTGGAGATTGTATGGCTGTTGAGAGGGCGAGTTCTCAGGCATCACATGCCCTCTGTGGCAGGTCTGGGCAGGCCTGCAGATTACCTGCTAACACACAGCTCCGAGCAGAGGAACAATAGCAAGTTAAGTTATTAAAAATACTGCCCATAAAACACGCCTGTGTTACTCAGCCACACGGGATGGTACAGTCAGTTCCAATCCACCGTGATTGTGCGATAACCTGCATTCAGATGAACAGGCAGGGGCGGAGAGGGCTGACCACATCTCAGTCATAGCTGGAGATTTGCCCCACAATATAATAATAATCCTTGTATTTGATAAAGCGCCTTATCACATGTTTGAGACGTCTCAAAGCGCTTCACAGAATATACTGTAAAGTGAATTGACTGTATATTTTGTGGGTGAAACATGGCAGACAAATTATTTTTTCAAGTGATTATTAACCTCCGGAAAAGCAATTCGCCAATCGACTATCAACCGAGTTCCTACTTACTGCTCGGTAATCAGAGGTATGTGGAGTAAGGAAACTTGCCTAACGTTTTGCCCTGACCGGGAATCAAACCCAGGTCCGCTCACTCATGAGGCAAATGCTCTAACCACTGAGCTACAGGACTCCACTTTATTGTAATATTATCAGATCTCTGGTGTGAAAGCTCCAGACTGGCTCAGAGACAGTTTGGCACAAATAGAGACTTCGCCACTCAGTCAAAATGTAAGTTCAGAAAGTGACCCAGACTTTGTGTCAGTGACTCCAGCTCACCCTGTATTCCCAGGGTGCGGCTCAGACTAACTCATTCTCTATCATCCCATAAAACCCAGTGTTAATTCACAGCAGCGTGTGAGTTTCAGCCTCATCAGCCATCAACATGTAAGTGTGGAGTCCTATAGTGTATTACACAAATAATACATAATGTGGTCACTCAATCCACGACTGTTTGTGGGGATGCCGCTGTGTGCAATTGGCTGGCGCTTTTCACCCGCAAGATACACGGTCACTCCACTTTACAGTATATCCAATGAAGCGCTTTGAGACGTCTCAATGACATGATGAGGCGCCATATCAAATGCAAGGATTATTATTATTATTTTTATGAAATGGCCTGGAGATCAGGGTTTTACAATCTCTCTCTGTGTTGGAGGTTTGGATCTGTGTTGCTTGTGACGTTGAAAGTGTTAAATTCCGATGGATTAAGTTGTGGGTTTGATGTATGGAGAGGAACATGCCCAGACACGAGCAGGTGCCAGGCTACTTCGCTCACTCATGAGTTTCTGTGGAAACAGGAGGTCAGTCAGACAGAGAGAGGGAGAACACACCTGCTGCTCCTTATCTGCCATAGTATTGCTCTCGTTCTCACTTGCTTTCCCTTCTCTGTGTATTTGTGGGAGATGCAGGAGATGGGAGAGAGAGGGAGAGAGAGAGAGCACCCGCCAGCAAATCCTCTGACACACACAACATTCACACTGCATTACACTCCCAGACCTGAGGGTTAGCCAAACAAACTTTTCTGTGTGTCTAAAGTGTCCTTCAGACAGCTATTTCCTGCTTCAGTTCATTTAATAATAATAATAATCCTTGCATTTGATACAGCGCATTATCACATCTTTGAGTTGTCTCAAAGCGCTTCATAGGACACACTGGAAAGTGAATTGACTGTGTTCTGGGACGCTATCCTGTGTGAGGAGTGCTATAGAAATGCAAGATTTGTTATATTTTGTGGATGAAACGCGGCAGCCAATGGCGCATAACAGCGTCCCACAAACAGTCGATTTTAAATTTAAGTCAAATTGATTTTAAATCTTCAATCTATTTACATGTTGTCTGGACGCTTCTGTGCCAATTGGCTGTTGCGTGCGTCCCCAAAAATACACAGTCACTACACTTTACAGTATATTCTGTGAAGCGCTTTGAGACATCTCAACAACGTGATACAGCACGATATCAAATGCAAGGATTATTATTATTATCGCCCCCTCCTTAGCCTCCTTAAAATCCCGCCTCAAGACCCTCCTCTTCGACCATTGCCATCGACCACCGCCCTTCCCCTCCCCCCCCCCACCCGGACCCCAGTTCGGGTCTGAAATGCTATACTCTGTCCAGTGCCTTGGAATGTCCTCCCGATGTGAGAGGCGCTGTACACATGTAATCTTATTATTTAAATAAAAGAAGCCGAGCCCTGGGGGGGATGTGCTGCTCCGTAGATACAACAACAAGTCGCAGGTTTAGCGCCTTCATACGGCATCCCCGAGATCTCAAACATATTGATGCTTAAATATATTTAACCCCCCCACCCCCCCCTCACCAACCCCCCCACCCCCTCACCCTCAACCCCACCCCCTCACCACCCCCACCCTCAACCCCACCCCCTCACCACCCCCCACCACCTCACCAGCCCCTCACCAGCCCCCCAACCCCTCACCACCCCCTACCACCTCACCACCCCCCACCCCCTCACCACCCCACCAGCCCCTCACCACCCCCCATCCCCCACCACCCCACCCTCAACCCCCCCACCCCCCCCTCACCAACCCCCCCACCCCCTCACCCTCAACCCCACCCCCTCACCCCCTCACCACCCCACCACCCCACCAGCCCCTCACCACCCCCATCCCCCACCACCCCCCACCCTCAACCCCCCCACCCCCCCCTGACCAACCCCCCCACCCCCCCCTCACCAACCACCCCACCAGCCCCTCACCACCCCCCACCAGCCCCTCACCACCCCCCACCCTCAACCCCCCCAACCCCCCTCACCACCCCCACAACACCCCCACCCTCAACCCCCCACCAACCCCCCCTCAAACCCCCACAACACTGCCAACCCCCCCCCCCCCCCGGGGTTTGCTCCCTGTCTCTGGTCCCGGGGCCGCCCCTCCGCCCCTCCGCCCCTCCAGTAAAAAGGGCGCCTGAACTCGGCGCTAAATTCAAACCGCAGTTACTGCAGACGTTGAGGTTCCCGTATATAACCGCCAGAGATCCCAGAGACCAGACACCGACAGACAGACACCGACAGCCCGACACCGACAGACAGACAGACACCGACAGACGGACAGACAGACACCGACAGACAGACACCGACAGACGGACAGACAGACACCGACAGCCCGACACCGACAGACAGACAGACACCGACAGACAGACACCGACAGCCCGACACCGACAGACAGACAGACACCGACAGCCCGACACCGACAGACGGACACCGACAGACAGACACCGACAGACGGACACCGACAGACAGACACCGACACCGACAGCCCGACACCGACAGACGGACACCGACAGACGGACAGCCCGACACCGACAGACAGACAGACAGACACCGACAGCCCGACAGGCAGACACCGACAGATGGACACCGACAGACAGACACCGACAGACAGACAGACAGACAGACA